CTATAGGAGGGACCTTCAAGGATCACCAAGGTCGCCCCTATAGGGATAATTTTGGGGCTTTAAGAGAATTTTTACGCTTTGAATAGAGATTTTTTTAGAGCAAATTCATGTCCTCGGATGAGTTTTAGAGCCCAAGAAAGTCATTTATTAGTATAGATTCTGATCAAATTTTTTTGAGAATTTGGGTTTTTTAGGACATTTCACAAGGTTGAAATTTGATTTTTTTCCAGTCTCTTGCATCTGTAAATTTTATTTTTATTAAAGAAAAAAATCCAGTCCAAAAAGTCGGATAACCGTAGAAAAAGAGACAGAATTGTAATTTTATGGGTTCAGTGTGAAAGAATTCCGACCTTCTCATCGAAAAAACACACTTTCCAGCTGTGTTTGAACTCGATTCTTATGCAAATCCACCTCAACCTCACCTGTCTTTTTGGCCCTTTTTTCAAAAAAAAAAAGCTGTAATATTCTCGCTGTTTTGTACTAGTTTGCTCCAACGGAAGAAATCCAACACCAATTGTTCGCCCTTTTCTTTTCGCGCCCTGTTGACAAATATCCATGGGGGATCCGCAGCGGCTCGAATTTCAAAAGCCAACTTTTTCCTTCTTTTTTTTTCGCTTGACTTCCGTTGTTTTATTGATTTTTTACTCATTTAAAGTTGTAAATTGGAAATCAGGCTAAAAAATGACATTATTAGGTGTGTTGGCGGGATATCGTACTGAAAAAAACGAATTGTTTCCTAAACTTTGAAAGAAAATGGCTATCGAACGGTTTTTGGAACGCTTTTTAATCGTGAAATTTTAATATTTCCATCAAAAAAATTGGCAAAAATAACGGCAAAAAGATTCGAACCTTGATCATTGGCTCCGCAGGCTAACACGCTAGCCACTGCGCCCCTAGCTGCCGTGCAATCGCTTGTGCCGCGGACAGATTCCTTCCAAACGGCGTCAAATGGTTAAGGAAAAAAACTTTAAAAATCATATCTCCAAAAAAAAAAGTTTGCGCAGATAGCGACTATGGGGGATTGATTCTTTAGAAAGTTTTCCAAAAATACTGGTAATAGGTGGGTTCACGAAGGTTTAAAGAAAGACCGAGGAAATTGGAAAAAAATAATAATTTCTTAATTTTGCGCGTGAGCTGCGTATTCTTTGAAAATGCGTCGGAGTGTCTGCGGGTCGCGTAAATCGTTTCCAATTTTCGGCTCCTGTAGTTGTTTTTTCTTGTTTTAATGCCATTTTCAAGGGATTTTCGCTTTTCTCAATAGAAAATGATGATTATTAGCTCTGAGTATGCCTTGGACGTATTTTTTTTCACTTTTAACAGTTTTTTTTCATGAAAAATTAGTGATTTTTACTTTTCATCTTTTGAAATTAAGTTGAAAATTGCTTCTTGGTCTCCACATTGTTCCAGTTATCAATACAGAATCTAAAAATAAAGGGTGATTCTGATATTTAGGCTCCAAAAATTAGCTGAAAACCATAGACTTTCCTAAAATTTCTTTTTTTAAAGGTTCTGTTATCAAGTCTTTATTAAAGATGAACTAAAAATAACCTAATTTTTCACCTCCCAAGAACTTGTGGACCAAAAACCGATCCAAAACCCAAGCCGACTCATTTTTCATCCGACCCTCCATCGGTCACCTTTCTCTGCGTCTCCTTGATCCTCACACTCTATCCTTTTCTCTCGCCGCCGCCGTTCCAGAAGCCCAACGAAAACAAATCTCCGGCCGATCGTAAATTTTGAACGGCCAGGATCGCGGTTATTTATGTTCCAGGTACAGTTTTAATGTACCTGGATACCTGGGGGCAGGATTTATTGATACGAGACTCCGCTAGTACATCAAGAGCATCAGAAAATCGATTTTAATTTCAGAAATTTTTTGAAAACATGGGATTTTTAAGTTGTTTTTTGCTGATTTAAGCTCAAAATATCCTGTTTTGAAAGAATCTTAATAATTTTTGATCTCTACAAAAAAAATTTTTAGTGAAAAAAATTTGATGGAAATGATATTATAAGCGAAAAATATTTTTTTAGTTATTTCCCATTGTGGTCCGCTTCTTTTCATGCCGTTTTGCCTATTTTTCTCTTTTCAGTATATTTTTGCATTTGGAATAGCTTTTTCTTTTTTTTTTTAATCTTGTTTGAAGCATTATTTTTCGATTTGATCCAAAAGTGGCTTCAAAAAAATTATTCAAGTTGAACTTTTGAATTTTTGAATTCTAGAAGGTTTATTTTTGAAGGTTTATCTGTATTAAAACATTTAATTTCCTTTTAAAAAAATTTTTATTTGATAATAAAAAGTTTTTTCAGTACGACACTCCGCTAGTACGCTCTCACAAGGGATCTTAATTAACTTTTTTTCCAAAAAAAGTAATATTTTTTTACTGAACGAAACGAAAGCTTTCTGTGCACTAAATCACAAACTAGAAAAAAATCACCATATTTTTCAAGTTGAAGAAAGATTGGATTGAGAAAATGGATCCTGTCCGAAACGTTTGAAAGAAGAAGAAAAAAATGGATGAAACGATAAAAAAATGGGGGCGTCAATTACCCGCCATCTGACGAAAAAAACCGCACACACGATACAACGCAATGGCAGCGATCCGATGCGGCTTCTGGTTCCATTTTTCTTCACTTTCCCCGCGCATCAAATTTATTTCCGACCAACAAAACTGTTTCCGCCTTTCTTTTTTGAATTGTATACTTTTTGTTTTTGACTCGAACTTTGGAAAACTTTTTTTCGAGAAAATGCATTTTTTGTATTAATGTGAATTAAATAGGTAACTGTACGAAATTTCAAAGAAATCTCGAAAAAATTGGAGAAAAATGATAAATTTAAAATATTGCGCGTGAGCTGCGTATTCTGTGAAAATGCGTCGGAGTGTCTGCGGGTCGCGTAAATCGACCCTCAAATTTTGGCTCCTCGAATTGATTTTTCTCGTTTTTAGAGTGATTATTGAGTGTTTTTTGCTTTTTGTCAATAGAAAATGATGATTATTAGTTCTGAGGATGCCTCGGGCGTACTTTTTCTATTTTTGAAAATCTATTTAGAAAAAACCCCCATCTTCTCGTTGACTTTCTTAAAATAACTTCTAATTTTTAAACGGTTTGTTGCTGTTTTCAATGTTTAAGTTTCCCTTTTTGAAAATTGATTCTGTTAGAGGTCTTTTCGGCCCTTGAACTGTGTTATTATTCGTATTTGACAATTTTTTTTCACGAAAATGCTGACTTTTGCTTGTCATCTTGAATTTTGGATTTGAAGATTTTTTTTTGGTTTTCCACATTGTTTCAGTAAGCAATACGGAAACTAAAAATGAAGCACAAGCAAATATTTCTCGATTTTCAACGAAAGAATTGAATTTTGAACCTTCTCTCCCGTTTCTATTTTGATTCCTTGAGCCCCACCGAATTTTTTACGATCTTTACACTTTTTTATACCTCTGTTTTGGGTTCCATGAAACGTACCTGTTTGTATCAAGGCAAAGGGAAAAAGTGTGCCGGAAAATACACCTGGGGGCGAGGTTTCCGAGTGAAGCGGGAGACAGCAGCTTCTTCTTCTTGTCAGCTGCTCCTATTTGTTCGCCCCTTTGTTTCTTGGTCCATTTCTCCAGGATTTTACTGAGAATTTTTACGCTCACGTGTTTCGAAAATCAATTTTTTGGCTATTTTTTCAGTTAGAGTCATCAAAAATTAGATTTTTCTCTGTATTCTTTGATTTACGACAATGAAATATACTTCAAAATGATAATTTTCCATTTTTCTCATTAGTGTTTGCTCAAACGGCGACGCGTCACATACCAAACGCGGCCGTCGCCCCCTCAGTGATCAGGTGGCCGAGTGGTTAAGGCGATGGACTGCTAATCCATTGGGGTTTCCCCGCGTGAGTTCGAATCTCATCCTGATCGAATTCCTTTTTGCCGCCTCGGTTTTCGACGATTTATCCACAGATGAATGCGTTTTGGCATTCAAGCGTTGCCTGTGTAGCTATTCAATTCAATGCACTGTTCAATTTCGAGGTGCAGCGAAATGGGAACACACGGGGTGTACATGGCGTTTCTATGTAGTGGGCTATTTGTATGTTTTGACTCGGGGTTTCATTTTTTTGTGGAAGTTTAGGCTTTTTTTAAATTAGTTATGATTTTAAGTGAGTTAGATTGTTAAGAACGATGTTAGAAAAAAGGAAAAGACTCAGAAAATAGGAAAAATGAACCATCTAACGTTGTAATTTCGGAATTTTCGGTTCTTTTTCAGAAGTTTCAAATTTTTTCAGCAAGAAATTTTGATTATTTTTCAAAAATTTGAGTTTCCAGTAGTTTTTAGATTATTTATAACGACAAAAAACAGATATTTTCCTCAAAAAAGCTCAAATTTCCGTGCGGAATATGTCTGTCATTATCGGCATTTTTTATCCACTTTTCAGCCCTTCCCTCCTCTGATTGACCCCTTAAGGCCTCACTCACCCGTTCTCGTGTTGATTAATTGGGATTAGTTGTGGGGTTCCTAACGAGAATGTTTCTTCACGCGCGGATGAATCGGCCTCGGCCATTCCAAACAATGCGTCCCTTCCAAAGTCTCTGACCCCCAAAATGTCCATTAACCAAAGTCATTTATGAGTTTATAGTTATTTTTTTCTGTTTTTTTGGTTTCTAATGGTTAGTTTTCAGGCGAAAAAAATACCAAAAAAAATCTGTTTTTTTTAAAGAAAAAAACTGCTGGGAATTTTTTTGAAAATTCCTGATGTAAATCTTTTTTCTAGACGGTTTTCAGTACAAAAAGGCATAAGAAACTCTCTCAAACTGTTTTTTTCTTGGAAAGATCCAAAATTTCGATTTTTCAGTCCCCATAGTACCAAGTTTCGTGCTAAATCTTAATCAGAACCTTTTTTTACCTCTAATTTTGATCCTAGATAAAAAATTTGGACAGATTTTTTTGAAAATTCGCATACTTTACCATGCTTCTGTGTTTACGTGCGCTTAATTTTCTCAAATTTTCGTCTCCCTAACATGAGCAATGATGAGGAACGGTTGCAGGTCTGCTTCGCCGAGGCGATCTACACGAACGTCGCCGAATACCCGGAGGAGCTTGCCTTTGAACGCGGCGACGTCCTTCGTGTCCTTTCCAAGAATCCAGGTGTTCTAATTGACATTTTACCTGAGTTATAATGATAATTGGAAAGGTAGAGACCTGAAATTGGGGAAAACTTGACTTCTAACCTGTAAAATGCGGGAAAATTTTACTTTTTTCTGAAAAAGGAGGTTTTTTTAATGCAAAATGGAATAAGAAAAACGATTGAAAAGAGTCCAAGAAAGAAAATTTTTAACAATGACTTATTTCCAAGAATCCAGGTGTTCTAATTGAGTATTGACCTGAGTTATAATAATAATAAGGCAGGTAGGGCCCTGAAAATTGTGAAAATCTTGGTTGGAAATCATATTTTTTTCAAGAAAAAAAGGGACTTTTTCTGTGGAAAAATAAGGCAAGAAAAAAACGTTTTGAAATTTTTTGAAAATTCTAAATGTTCTTGAGTCATTTTTTTAAGTACCCAGGTGTTTTAATGGTTTTTTTAAAAAAACTTGGCTTTAAACTCGTAAAATTGATAAGGTGTCCTGAAAATGAAGAAAAACTGCTGAAAATCTCAATTTTTCAAGAAATTTTTCAGTTTTCAATCGGGCAAGAGTAAAGATTGGGACAAATTTTTTTCCCTTGTCTTCTCAATTTTTTTGATGAAAAAGCTTTTTTTCTATTTACAAAGCTTCGATTAAAAAAACCAGGCATTCGGGGGTCCTAGAACTAGTAATGGCTCAAAGACTGCGAAAATCGTCATTTTTCAAAAATTTCTTTTGAAAGAAAATTTTTCCGGGTCAGTTCTAATGATAGAAGTGTTCATATAGGAACATATTTTGCTGTAAGATTGGTTTGGACCGATTTGCTCCACTACGAAAAAATTTTGGTTTTTACGGTATTTTTTCTACAGTAAGCCTGGAAATGGGCGGAGCCTAATAAAATCGGGTTCTAAATAGATAATATTTTGTACAAAACGTTTTCGAATCTGTTCGATTTTTTGGGAAAATGCGTGTTTACTGAGAAAATTTCTAGTGGCCACTATAGAGGCTCGCCAAGGACTACTTGGAGAAGACACTAAAGAGGCCACTAAACCCACCTCTATAGTGGCCACTATTCTCCGTTTTAGTGGCCACTTTAGAGATTATCTATCTAGTGGCCACTTTAGTAGTTTTTCATCCAGTTTTCCTTCTAGTAACTATGATAATTTTAAAACAAACAGTTCGGACCAGTTATGTTGATCCATTATCCCCTAAAGTGGCCACTTTTTGTGGTCTAGTAGTAGCACTTAGACCTCTATAGTGGCCACTAATTTTTAACCCCTGAACTGACCACTAATTTTGCTACTATAGTGGTCACTAAAACGTCAAAACCCTATAGTGGCCAATGAAAATTTTCCCAGTAAAGCGTCACGAAAGTAGCACTTAGACCTCTATAGTGGCCACTAATTTTCAACCCCTTAAGTGGCCACTAATTTGACTACTATAGTGGTCACTAAAACGTCAAAACCCTATAGTGACCACTAAAATGTTTCTCATTTTTAGGGATCGACGGGATTTCCGAGGGCTGGTGGCTCTGCGTGGACCGGAAAGGCAGAAAAGGTCCAAAAATGTCTCGAAATTCCCCAGAAATGATCCTTTTTTCAAGGCGTCGTACCGGCGAATCGGCTCCAAGTAATGCAAAGATTTGCTGACGAGGATGTCGCCAAAGGGGTAAATTTTGTACCTTTTTAGGAATTTTCGACTGGTTTTTCGACTATTTGAACACTTTTAAGCTGAAAATTGGGTTCACTTTGGTTTTTCTCAACGTTCAATGTTTGCATAGCAGCGTCGCTTTTTTTCTGTTCCGCCTTGAAAGTGCGATCATTTTTCAATTTGTAAGGAGCTGCGAGTTTTTTTCGTCTTTTCTTTGAGATTTCAAAAATTTTTTGGATCTTTTTAAAGTTCGATCATTTCTCAATTTTCAAGGAGTTGGAGTTTTTGCCTTTTCTTCATGTTTGTAACTTTTTGTTGGACCCTTTTAGAGTTCGATCATTTCTCAATTTTGAAAGATTTAGCTTTTTTTTTCTGGACCCTTTTTTAGGCTTTTCTTCTTAATTTTAACTTTTGGGACCCTTTTAAAGTGCGATCATTTTTCAGTTCTAAGGATTTTCTTGTTGTTAGATGGAGTTATGTTTGCAGAAAGTTTTTTGCCTTTTATTCATAATTTTCACCTTTTTTTGGACCCTTTTAAAGTGCGATCATTTTTCAATGTGTATGTTCGGCTTTTTTTCTGGACCCTTTTAAAGCTCGATCATTTTCAATTTTTGAGGAATTGGGAGTTTTCTGCTTTTTTCATGATTTTAACGATTTTCTGGACCCTTTTAAAGTGCGATCATTTCTCAGTTCGTAATTTTGGATTTTTTTTTTCATGATTTTATGATTTCCTGGAGCTTTTTAAAGTGCGAACATTTCTCAATTTTTGAGGTGTTTGGAGATTTTTGGCTTTTCTTCATGTTTGTAACTTTTTGTTGGACCCTTTTAAAGTTCGATCATTTCTCAATTTTGAAAGATTTGGCTTTTTTTCTGGACCTTTTTAAAGTGCGATCATTTTTCAGTTCGTAAGTTTGAGTTTTTTTTTCATCATTTTACCGATTTCCTGGAGCTTTCTGAAATTCGAACATTTTTCAATTTGTAAGGAGCTGGTAGTTCTTTTGGTCTTTGTCCTTTATTTTAACGATTTTTGGACCTTTTAAAATTCGATCACTTTTTCAATTTGTAATTTTGGCTTTTTTTCATAGTTCTAACGATTTTCTGGATCCTTTTAAAGTGCGATCATTTCTCAATTTTCAAGGCTTTGGGAGTATTTTGGCTTTTCTTCAGGATTGGGACTTTTTTTGGACCCTTTTAAAGTGCGATCATTTTTCAATTTATAAGAAGCTGGCCGTTTTTTAGGCTTTTCTTTGAGGTCAAAAATTTTTTGGAGCTTTTTAAAGTGCGATCGTTTTTCTATTTTTTAGGTTTTTTCAGTTGAAGGAGGTCTTGAGGAAGTTTTTTGGCCTTTCTTCTTGATTGTAACTTTTTTCGGACCCTTTTAAAGTTCGATCATTTTTCAGTTTCAAAATTTTTTTGTTAGATGGAGTTATGTTTGCAGAAAGTTTTTTGCTTTTTTTCATGTTATTAACTTTTTTTGGACCCTTTTTAAAGTGCGATCATTTTTTTCAATTTGCGAAGAATTGGGAGATTTTTTGGCTTTTTGCATGTTTGTAATTTTTTTTTTTGGACTTTTTCAAAGTTCGATCATTTTTTATTCTCGAGGTTTTTCCAAATTCAAAAAAATGAGTGTATTTGAAGTTAATTGAAAGAATGTGACGGAAAAAAAATTTTTTTCAGGCAATATTTCTATAATATTTACAGTATTTCTTTTTTTCTTCCTAGGACCTCTTTAAAATCCGATCACTTTTCGATTTTTGGAATTTTTTTTAAATTTGTCTTTGAGCACATTTTTGAAGCTTATCAAACCTTATTATCCTAATGTTTGACGAAAAATTTCAAAAATCCATCTCATTTTTTTTTCCTTGCTTCCAACGCTAAGAATAGTTGTTGGCGGGGAACGAAATTCTCGATGGCAGCCGTTTTTTGTTTAAAAATCGGCTTTTTTTCTCCCCCTGCGCGTTCTGTTTGACGACAGCGTGTACTTGAACGACGTCAAACACAAAAATCAAAAAAAAAATTTTCGACTTTCTTGGAAGTTTTCCAGCCTTGGAACTTGTTGATTTTTTTGGTCTTTTTTTGAAGTTTTTCTGCTCAAAATTGGTGAAAAAAATGATTGAAATTTATGGATTTTTTACCTTTTTGATTTCCTTGATTATTTTTTTAATTGATTGTGAGCTTTCAAAGTCTAGTTCTTTTTATTATTCTTGAAAAATTTTAGGAATAAATCTTGATTTTTTTGATTTTTCTCTTGCTTTTTTTAGTTTAGTTTTTTTGAAAACTACCTTCTAATTTTGAGTCCTCAGAACTTTTTATAAAAGACCAGATTTCCTACATAAGTCACTTTTTTTTCGATTCCAAGGCTGCTTCGTACAAGAAAATTGGCCAATTAGGGCCGAAGTTTCGCACAAAAATGACTGGTTTTTTTTTTCTCCTAGCGTCTTTTTTTTGGATTTGAGAAGATTTGGCTTATTTTGTGTTCTTGAAGTGTTGAAAAATGCAAAGTTTGCGAATTTTCTAGTAAATTTTGATCAGGAAAAGTAGTGAATTTTCCAAAAAATCTATTGGTTTAACGCTAATTTTACCTCGTTTCATAGGTAAAATCGGAAGAACCCTTTAGGGGCCCTTTGAGCGTCCGTTTTGGATCAAAAGGTTTCCATTGATTTTTCCTAAACGGGTGGCAACGATTTCCTTTTTACTGCCTTTTTCCGTCCGTTCATCGGCCTTTATCCACCCTTTTTGGACGCTTTTGAGAAACAAAAATTTTTTATATTGAGAATGATCTTTACCAGTGGCTGTTTATGAACCAAAATGGTCGACAGTGCTAAAATCATCTTTTTTAAAAAAATGCAAAAAGATTTGCCCTCGACAGGAATCGAACCTACCCAAAAAAGTCAATAGACTGGCCCTCTAACCACTGCGCCATGCGACCTCCAAGAGAGAGGAAGGTTCAGGCGAGTACAGGACTCTTCCCGGATTTCTTCGAGCAGATTTTTCTCAGAATCCTGTGTTCTTTTATTCGATTTTCCTGATTTTGAACATAATCATCACAAAAAAATTCTAAAGTTAAAATATCATCTAAAAACATCGAAAATGGTATCATTCTCGACGAAATTTGATCTTTCTAGAGTTTTTTTTTTCAATCTTTCAACGTTTTTTTTGAAATGTGTTTCGATCATTTCTTCCAATCCAGGGAGTCCTACGTTTCTCGAACTTCATTAATGTTCTTCTATTCGATGTTCTTCAGTTTTGAAAAACATAAATGAGAAATAAAAATTCAAAAATCAGAAGATCAAACGCAGCAAGTTATACACTGCGCGTCATAATTATTGATTCAGCCCCATTTTTTCTTTTTTGAATCAACCTGTCATCGACAAAGACAGAAGGACCCTTTAGGGATCCTTTGAGCGCCCGTTATAGATCAAAAGGTTTCCATAAATTGTTCCTTAACCAACGACAACGGTTTCCTTTTTACTGCCTTTTTCCATCCTTTCATCACTCTTTATGCACCCTTTTTGGACCCTTTTGAGACATTTTTTAAATTGAGAATAATCTTCACCAGTGACTGTGTATGAACCGAAATTTGCTACAGTAATAAAATCCGAAATCTTCAATGGCCGAGAATTTCAGCACCCTTTTTGGACCCTTTTTGGACCTTTTTGGACCTTTTTTGGACCTTTTTGCACCTTTTTGCACCCTTTTTGGACCCTTTTTGGACCCTTTTTGCACCCTTGTTTGAGACATTGCAGCCCACCAAGACAAAAAGGCTCAATAAAGGGCGCAAAACGGAACCCTTTTAGCAGCCATTTTGCACCTTTTCCACACTTTCCGACTATAGCAGTGTTTGTGTACTTTTTATATTGTCTTTTTAAATTTTATTTTGGTTCTCATAACTTTTTTTGAACTTTGAGTGGAAACGTCAATGCTTTCCAACAAAAAAAGAAGCGGTTAACCCGATTAGTATAATGAAATAAAACTGAAGAATTGCCGTACCCTTTCCTTTGCCTAATTATTGTTGAATGAGACGGGAAGGGAAACACGTTTTCTGTCCATTTTTTCCGCATTTTTCTTCCCCTTCTTCCTCTTTTCTCCCAACTTTTCTGGATTGATTGTTGAGTTGGTTTCAGAAAATTCATTCCTGGAAAAAATAGCTTCCGAGCATTTTTGCTCCATTGAGAAAAAGGCTACAGAAGTCGGTTTTCAACGAATTTATCACTATAAATTGCTGGCTGCATGAATTTTTCGAGGTTTTTTTCGATTTATAGCTTTTAAAAAAATCGAATTTTCTACAAATTTCCGACAAAAAAACAGCATCTTTTTTTCAAAAAAATCGTGTGGAGAAAAGAGTTCATGAAAACTTATTTTTTTATCAATTTTATCACTAGAAATTGTTTTTTTAAGGTTTTTTTCAACCTTAAAAAAATCAATTTTTCTTGGCCTTGCTGGAAAAAAATAGCCTCCGAGCATTTGTGCTCCATTGAGAAAAATTACTAGAGGAGGCGATTTTTCAACGAATTTATGACTATAAATTGCTGGCTGCATGAATTTTTTTGAGATATTTTTTTCGATTTATAACTAAGAAAAGTCAAATTTTTTTACAAATTTCAACAAAAAAACAGCATCTTTTTTTCAAAAATCGTGTGGAGAAAAGACTACATGAGAGCTTATTTTTTTATCAATTTTATCGTTAGAAATCGTTTTTTTAAAAAGTTTTTTTGAGCCTTTAATTCTCTCAACCTAACCTTTAATATCAAATGAAAAAAAAGCCGCGTCTCTCAGAAAGTGCGCTCTATTGAGAATATAACTGAATTTGGTCAATTTGATCTGAAAATTCGGTAAGTAAGTGTTCCTCAAGCTTCTCCTCATTTTTGAAGTTGTTGCGCCCCATGGCGAAAAAGATTACTGTAGTCATTTCTTGTGACAAAAGGCTACCGAAGTCGATTTTTATCGATTTTTCAAGTAAAAAATCGCCAGTTGCATGGATTTTGAAATATTCTTCGATTTATAGCTTTGAAAAATCGATTTTTCTTGTGTGTCAAACT